AAACCATAAATCAGAAGCACATCAATTTCCGATTAAATTTAATCAAAGGATAAAAACAATGAAACGGACTATCTCCGTTAGTGTTATTGATTCCGAATTCATTCGACGAATTTTGTATCCCGACTGCATTTTCTGCCTATCTTCCCTGCCCTTCAAGGTAACCCTTCTACGTTCGTTAAGTGTTCTATTCCCCCACGGTTTATTGTTGACTTAGGAAGTTGTGATTTGAATTAATCAGCTTTTATTGCATGCTACTATGTTTAGCAGTTTTATAAAAACAGCTGAGGACGTGATACAACTCTGTCCGTTCTCAAACTGATATAAAATATCCACACTCGCAGATAGACGTCATCAAGTGAAAACAATAAAGTCCCATATATTGATACTACTAGAAATAGACATCAATCGGTATTGCAACGGACAAATCACTTTGGTTGTATAGATTTGTGTCGATCCTATACGAACCAAAATGACGCATACTTTCCATGCTTTATTTCCATGGTTGATTCCAAACCGCATAGCAGGATGTGATACAAGATTCATATCAGTGGTTTGCCCCTTTCAGTCAATCATTGATGTGAGCTGTTCCATCTGAGTTAGCTTAATCGTGTGGAGCGATCGGTCGATCGATAGCTCTGTGACCGGATCAGCCTAGCATTGAAACTATGATCAACTGAGGAGCGTATATGATGCAGGCTCTCGCAGCCCAGCGCATTGGTCAGAGATGCGCAACCGGGATGTCCCTAGGCTCGCGTTCTCACAGCTGGAGACGATTTGAGGCTTTGCGGGCGACGAAAAACAGCGGGGAACGGCGGTGGAGAGGCGAAAACTGGGTTTGCTAGGACACCTTGGTAAACAGGTCTTCCGTGGGTCGGGATTAACGGTAAACCTGCAAGGCAAAGCAAAGAGAATGCAAGGAACTAAAACGTTCCAGTGAGATACGAGCAATCACTGGCGCGGTTTCAAGGGCGTTACCAGTACAAGTCATTTTGTTCTGTGGGGGTTAGCCAAGAGTAACGCTTCCGTGCACCTTGTTTGTGCTTCTCCCACTATGCAGACTTGCTGTTATTGCGAGTCTTTATCGTCTCTCCGAGAGCACGCCTATCGTCACAGTATCTCCGGGTGAGGTTAGTCTGTCTCGGGAGTCCCAGATTTGATGTTGATTGGAGTGGAGTTGGCAGAGAGGGGGAATTATGAGAGTACACTTTCACACTCGATGTACACTACTGATATCTCTATTCTTCACAATTCAATTTCATGATACCAATGGGTCTGATTGGTGACCCGGACTTCGAATGTGTCGGCAACTGACGCAAGTTTATTTGTCCACGTTGTCCACGTGAGCACGTTTAATCCCCCCACCTCTCCCTCTCTCCTGTGATTAGATAACAGCTAATTTATTGCAATTGTCACAATTCTAAAAGACAGTGCCGGGACAGAGAACAGCACATAGAATGAAACGTCTCATTCGGAATAAAAAAAAAACTACTCGCGAATGTGAGTAGCATCTCATAAAAAATTACCAGTTTATCCATTGTACTGCTTGATGATTAGGTGAAAAGTGACTTGGTGGGTGAGAGGGCCTTTTTCAAGTGTTGTATTTTTGATTCACGCTTTAGGAAGTGTGTTTTATGAGACAACATGAATTCTCTTGACTCCCTAACATCATCTGCTTGAGCGATTTTGTTTACCCAGATGATGTGTGTTGCGCTGACGAGGTCTTGACGATATGGGTGGACAATCACGTGACCCTCTCCGCAGCATTTTCAGTCAAACTTTTCCCTGACTTTTATCTCAAAAGTCTCATGATTGACTGGAAACCGTCTATTTTATATTTAACAGTGGCTTGATACACACTCGAAAGTTTATTGTGCACTAACAGCAAATATACAATTTCCGAGAATGCGTGGGTTAAGAGAGTGTTCAGATTGTGGTGGTGGTGGTGGTGGTGGTGGTGGT